GGGTAGCGTATTAGCGAAATGCTAGAACCTTTACTGTTAACAATTTACTTGTCCGATGTACCAGTATTACTGACAATGTTCCCGAAAATGACAGAACCCAGTTGATTCAATTACTATCACCATTGAATATTTCACCTCTAATGTATGTACCATTTATTATTATTTACTCAGTCTTCCGCATTAGAGCATTCATGATGCATGAACTGCAACTTGAATGACTTGTATATCACGCACGCCTGGCCCATAGCTGCCTTATCAGATTTAAGTCTCACCTTTATCTTTTGGAAATTTAAGCCTTTATCATTGAAATTCTCCGATCAAATCCTAACTTTCTATTTTAATTTATTTAATCTTGTTGAATTGAGGCTAACTTTATTTATATTTTGGCTTCCCCAAAAACAATTAAATAATAACAAAATACATATCCAGGGATTTCATTGAGCAAGATGCGCCATCAAAATAATTGTGGGAGGTACATTTTGCATTTTTGAGGGGCGCACATGTCGATGGGGTTATGAATTTTCGGAATGAAAAGTTTCAAACCAGGATACAATGGAAAAACACGGAACAACCCGCTTCAAGTGTAATTTTAACGATCTACGATATTTAAATTGTACTTTCGTTTGCACTGTTTTATCGACCTTAGGCAGGATGGATACCCTTGTATATATTCTCACATATAACCAAGCATTTTAGCATATAATAATAATAATATAATAAACTGACCATACTGTGCGTCACAATAAACCAGATATCCTTCTGATAGATATGAAAGAGAAAAGAGCAGAGCTTATTGATATCGGGATCCCCAATGATAATAATATAAGCTGCTGGAGAAAAACTGAGAAAATGCCAGGAACTGGCAATCGAACTGAAGGATTATATCATTTGGGAAATGTCACCACCACTCCAATTATAATATCCTCCAATGGATTGATACCAAAGACAACAGTGGCAGGCACGATGGGATTAAAATTACATCTTGAAGTGCTGAAAGAGGCTCAACACTCAGTTCTCTTAGACACAGCACTTATTCTTTTTGCTTTTTTTTAAACTTTCAAAAATTTTTAAACGTCTAAAAAAATAATAGATATTAATATGAAGGTGGCTGGACTTCTGGTCTCCCACCTCAGAAACTTACACCGCAAAGCCAGAATAAAGAATGGAAATAATAATAATAATAATTTATTTATTCTGGGACGAGTCCCTTTAGAATAATACAGAAAGACATAAATATGGGCTAAGGAGCCTCAGAGATCCATAAATAAAGATACAGAGTAATTAAACAGTAATAGTAATAAAATTAATAATTATAAGTTAATTTCTAATCTTAATCGGTTAATAATATAGCCCAGTCAAATTAGACATGTTACCTTTCAAAAGATCGGATAATTCAAATTTCGTTTTATATTGTTGGATATTTGGTGAATATAAAAAATCCAAATTTCCACCATTGAAAGACTTGTGGGTTCACTGCTCCAAAAACCATTTAAATTTTTAAACTTTTTTTGCTTTACGCCCTTTTAGAGCAACATAGATAAAAGATTATTATTATATAAAATCTTAAACAGCTTAAAATTGTCTAATATTTTTCGAGGTAACATATTTATATATAAACCTAACAGGAAGCGAACTATCAGGCTTTCAAAATTTAGACATTTCGATTTCTTCACGATAATGATCTGGCAGTTTTGAACCGAATGATTCTGTAACTCCATTTTGAACTTCGTCCAGAGAATATGGAGGTTTTGCTTGAAGACAATGAGACTGGAACGGTAAACGGTAGTCGAGAGGTGTTTTGAAGAGTATGTTAAACGATGGGCCAGACCTTCCCTACCATGGACCCTCCCCATACATCTCTATAAATTGCATACTTTTTGTGTTAATAAAATAAGGCCGTAAGGTCTTTGGAGTATCGGTATCAACTCATATAATTTATAACTCAATCCCAAGATGGTTGATTGAATACTCCACTCAGCAATAAAGAGAATATTCCGTCTGCAACTTTACTAATCTCGATAAAATAACGCAGTAAGATCGACATCGGTCTTTAAAGTATTAGTCTGTGAACCAGACGCCTCTACTGTGCACTCTCACAACCCCTTCCACATCCCTATAAATTGCATATCATTGTGTTCCTTGTAACTATTAAAAAAACATCTAATGTTCCCGAAAATAAAGTGGCCGTGCTGTCCCAAAATGGCGTCAAAACATGGCGGATTGACGTCTTTACGTCAACTTGTTGGATAGATGTAAAGATAGACACAAAAGTAAATAATCATTAAATCTGATATAAAGCTATCGGACGCCGGGAACAGTAACAACTAACGTAAGTTAGCTTTTCGGTCACTGAGATTCAGTATTTGGCTTAATTTCGTCATCACTGGCTTTTTATTAAAGCTGAATAGTTATAGAAAAATAAAAAATGACAAAATATTTAAAAATAATTGGCCTTGGCAATAAAAATCAGCAGTAAATTCAATTTTTTCAAATCGTTCTAACTAAAGTTGAAAATCAGGCATCGTTTGTAAATAAACGGCCAACAGTGACGAAAATCGTTTAAAAATAAAACGTGTGGAGAATACATTTCTCTTTTTAAAGCACTGATTACTTTTTAAAATATTTGAAGCAATTATTTATAAAGTACAATTAATAGGCGAAAAAGAGGCACTGGAATAGGGGCCTTGAATCCTATACCGCATCATTTAGTATTCATAAATCGCATAATAACGTTATAATAATATAATAACGTTTGCGGTACATTATTTTGATTGTATTAATGTATAAAATATTAATACAATAACTTAATTGTCCAAAACTATTTTTTTTCTTTTTTTAGGAAGTCTACATTTATATATTTTTTCATAGTTAAGGCAAAAATACTTCCAATTTCCTTCAAATCCCTTTATTCACATTTATTATCTCTAACGTTTCGGGACAATTTTCCCATCATCAGAGCAATCCTTATATTCACTGAAACTATGCACATTTTAAATAAACTATTTTTACAGTACTAATCTACTTCACCTATTTTACAATTATTTACCTTGCTTTTTTGATGTGGCACCATTTGTCAATAATTTAAATTGCCACCATTTGCCTTAACTATGAAAAAATATTTTTTATTCTTTTTACTTCCTATATGCTTGTATTAACTATATGGTTGTAACACTGTAACTATACCATTTATGGGTACTGAATGATGTGGCATTAAGTTGACGACCAATTTCATTAAAATGAGTGGAAAACAGTAAAAATAAAATTATAAGGATTTTTCTCATTTCAAAATATCAATTTCTTTTTAGCGATTTGTATCTAAGTTCTTAAGTTTAGAAAAATATATTTCCCATATAAGCTGTAGTAAATTGTGTGTGCTTTAATATTTAATTTTAAAAAATGAGCGAAGAAAAACTGATAATTAGTTAAAAACAAAAAATTGTACATGTCTGTTTGCGAATTTTCGAAACTTTACATATTTCGAAAACTCGATAGTTCGTTTATAGTTGGATTTAGAAAAAAATGTATGTGCACAAATGTTAGATAATTTTAAGTTGTTTAAGATTAACTATAAATAATTTTTATTAAAAAAAAAATCGAATGTTAATTAATTAATTAATGGTTTTTGGAGCACTGCAGTGAACCCATAAGACTTTCAAGAGCGGAAACTTGGATTTTTTATATGCACTACATGCCTAACAATACTTATTTATTAACGAAACAAAAATGTAGAACATTTGATTAAATTTGCAATCTGCAAATTTCTTTGCAATGGGAAAATTTTTTGACAGCTTCACAGCTTCCCATGACGTCCGGGATATAAATCAGATCAGCAGGTCTCTTGGTCAACACCTATGTAATCTTCGTATTGGGCTGTACGATCGGGTTTCTTGTACGATGAAGAATTTCTATCAGGGGATTCATGTTGTACGTCAGTCTTTGGTGAAAGTTATTGTATTTCTCCTGTCAAGTAATCTGGATAAAAGACCATATCGTCTGTTTAATTCGATTCGTTCTTGTCTGGTGTGAGTCCTCCAAGTAAATCTTTTGTCCAGGTAAAAACCTAAATACCTAATTACGTCTGATGTTGGAATTTTAATGTTATTAAAATATATTTAATGTGAAGGTTTATGGCTAAGAGTGAATACCACATGCACACTTTTTTTTTCATTCATCTTAATTTTCCACCTTGTGGCCCAATCTGCAATATCGTTCAGATAATTTTGAAGAGTGGAAGATGCTCGAACAGAGTTTTTATCTGAGCTTAGGATTGCGGTATCGTCTGCAAAAGTAGCCAGTATTGTATCATTGTGTTCCGGTAGGTCAGACATATATATATTAAATAATATTGGTCCAAGGACACTACCCTGAGGTACACCTGCTTTGATAGGTTTAATGTCAGACCGTTCTGTCCCTACTTTTACTACAATATGTCTATCCGTTAGATATGAAAGTAATATTAGATAGTAGGTCGGAGGAAGTAAAATTTTAAGTCTGGAAAGCGATCCTTCATGCCAAACGTTATCAAAGGCTTGACTAATGTCCTCCAGGACTCCTGGAATAATTTTTGGATTCTAAAGAATTAGAAATAAAATCTACCAATCGATGACATTGTTGAACAGTTGAATGATGCTTTCTGAAGCCGAATTGATGATTTGGAATAAATTTAAATATATCGAGAGAATCAATGTGACGAAGAATAATTTTTTCAAATAATTCAGAAAAGGAAGGTAGAAGACTGATCGGACGATAGGAATTTGGAGAGTCTGAGGATTTATTTGGTTTTAAGACCACGACAACTTCAGATTATTTCCAGAGGGTGACAATACAAAAAAGAAAATTGAATTACTTGACCTTTTGCAAGGTAGGCCCTTTTTGTTGTGCTAATTTACCTGGGCTAATGACTGCATTATTTTTTACTTTATATTTCAGAACACATAATTTGTATGCAGCCTCGGTTGGATTTATTTATTTTAATTATTTAATATTTTTTTTTTTTACAGTTGCCGTTGTGAGTATGTTCTTCATCTGCTGGGCCCCTTTCCACGCTCAAAGACTGATATATCTCTATGGCAAATCTTGGCCCAACTACGTCACACTGAATGAATGGATGTACTATATCACTGGAGCCCTGTATTTTTTTTCTTCAACGGTCAATCCAATATTGTACAATCTGATGTCAGTAAAATACAGAAAGGCCTTTAAACAGACACTTTTCGGGGGGCAAAATGTGAATAAAAGGGGTCATCAAAGCAGCTTCCGAGAATCATCTCAAGGAGCAGCGGAAATTTCTGAGGATACTCAGAAAAATACCAATAAATGCACTCCATGTGAAAAGGTTAAAAGTGATACTATTGTGAGGGTTAACAATAGCAATGTAACCAATGGAAATTGCGTTTTGACAGTAAAAACCGGATTTTTTCCTAAGAATCTCTTTATTCTCCCACCAAATCCTCTCGCTAATAAAGAACAGGGGATAAATCCTCAGAAAGTAGGAACACCGCCATTATTTATTTCCAATTGCAACACTGCAAAAGAAACTTATATATAAATTATTGCGATGCCAATTAAGAAATCCTACTTTATATCATTTATACAGTTTATTATTCAACGCTGGAAAAATATTAGATACAAAGCATAAATAAAATTGGCAAGTTGTTAGGGGAGTAATTCATCAAAAGCAATGAAGGTTATACGATTGCTTCCTATCTATCAATTTCAGAAATTTATAATAGACCAAGTTTAATCTGTATTCCTATTATATTGTAAACAAAAAAATATATACATAAATATTGCTGTGAAACTGTAATTAAGCCTCTGTTATTTATTTCAAAGGTTAATTTATTATTAAACGCAATGTAACTACTAGACTTAATTTGAACACTTAATTACTGATATTGATATTTCTGATATAAATATTGCTATATATTTTTTTTGTTTTATTTTTTAGACTCAAAAATGAGTAAATGTAAACTCATGTTAGAATGTATATAGTGTAAGTAAGATGTAATTATTTTTTTTGTAAATATACTCATTCTGATATTTGATTTCATAAAATATTTAAACCAGAACAAAATAGAATCACCTTTCTCATACAATTATAATCCTTAAATATCTGGTAATGTCTTGATATGTTGATCAAGTTGTTGACTAATTAGCGTTTTAATAACAAAATAAATAATAAATAAATGAATAAAATAAATTAAAAAACTACTGGTCGAAAGCACCCTTGGTTGGTTGCCTTGGTTCACATTTTGAAACTTGATTTATTAACTAAGTTAATTGTGTATATTTATTTATTTTTTGTTATATAAACTTATTTTTATTTTAATTCAGATAATGTTTTTAAAAACAATTAAAAAGTTAATTCACAACCTATAATACTCCGGAAACCAAAAAAAAAAAAAAAAAATGGAAAATACCCTTAAAAAAACCTGTATAAAATAATATTTATTTCCTAAATTATTAATTATCAATTTATCTAAGAAATACATTAGTGAATCATTAAAAAATAAACAGTAAAAAAGAATTATAATGGAAACTCTCTAAATATGTCCAACTCACTGCCATCATCACTGCTAGAGTTGCACAAATGCGAGACCAAGACGAGTCTTGGTCTTGCGTACTCAGTTTTGGTCTTGCGCAACAGTCTTGCGGTTGCCTATTAGCCTATTACTATAGCATTATTTTTCAGATGGAAGAAATCTAACTAAGCCCCAATGAAAAATTGGAAGAGTTAAATGCAAAAGTGTACTGGTTCTACCAATTCTTTTCATATAGTAACTAAAATTTTCAAGTATTAGTAACTATTTTACCTTAATTTTTATTCACAAAAAAAATTTTTTTTTACCATTGTTGGTCTTGGTCTTGCAACAGTCAGGCGGTCTTGGTCTTGCAACAGTCAGGCGGTCTTGGTCTTGGTTAAATGCAAGACCAAGACCGATTTTGGACAACACTTATAACTGCTGCTCCTTAAAATGTTGTTGTTACCTTCTTTTCTAAGTTCTCTCACACATTTATTAAAAAGATCCTGAAGGTTGAATTTATTTCGAACATATTCAAAGAAGATAACACGAAATTCTTGGATTGTTCAATAATTAAATTAATTTTTGTTTCATTAAACAAATATAGAGGTCACTTATTTTAGTCACATACTATCCAATTAAAATGTAAAAGAGCATGCGACTGATTTCTATGGAATATTACGAAATCAAACTAGGTATTGAGTTGGCAAATAAGTTCTTTCTGTTTATTTTGATTTCACTATGATACGCTTGTTATCTGATGAATTAATCCCTAAGGTGGATTGTTTGTCCTGTTTGTAATGCCAACAACTATATCTGTTAACACTTGTTAAAACTAGCTTAGTATTGTGTATGCTATTCCACTGTCCAAATGGAAGAAAATGTCATTCATTGTTGGCATATTTTGTTGTATTATTTTAAAAAAGGTAAGCGTGCTGCAGAAGCTCACAGAAAAATTTGCCATGTTTATGAGGATGATCCCTTGACCGAACGCCTGTCAAAATTGGTTTGCCAAATTTCATCAGGAAATTTTCACACCAATGATGCTCAACGGTCTGGTCGCCCACATGAAATTAAAACTATCAATGTTAAGGCCATTGTTGACCAAAATCCCATCCAATCATTGCGTGAGATTGCTATGTCCCTAAATGTGTCGAACACAAGCATAGAAAACCATTTGCACAAGCTCGGCTATGTTTCCAGGCTTAATGTTTGGGTCCCTCAATCTCTAACCGAAGTCAACTTGGCAACAAAACGAACCCTTTTTTAAAAGGTTGGTAACAGGAGATGAAAAATGGATATTTTACGATAGTGTAGTCAGTAGAAATTCTTGGAGACTTAGTAGTAAGGCTCTTAGAAGAATATCAAAACCCGGATTGCATCCAAAGAAGTTGATGCTTTTCATATGGTGAGATTTTAGGGATTTTGAGGGGGTTATAATTATATGATGCTCAAAATTAACAAAATTGGATCAATCAATTAAAAATAAACGCCAAGAACTGACAAATTGAAAGGGTGTTGTGTTCCAACAAGAGAATGCTAGGCCGCACGTCTCATTGGTCACTCGCAATAAATTATTGGGTCTCGAATGGAATCGTTTGCCCCACCCTCCATATTCATCAGACCTAGTTCCAAGTTATACTACCTCCGGCCTCTGCAGAATTCCAAAAGAAAGAGGACATCAAAAACCACTTGGATCAGTTTTTTAACAATAAACTCCAGACATTTCATGAACATCCCATTATGCAGGTTGTGGAAAGATGGGGAAAAGTCATATTAAATAATGGTCAATATATTATATATTAAAATTCATTTTATCTCTATAGTACATTAAGTTTTATTTCACCCAGAAAACCGACAGGACTTATTTGCCAACCCAATATATATATGTAAAGTTCATGACTTTGCATCGTTGATCGTTGGATTCTCTTATTTTGCCTAGTATTTTTTTCTTTCTCTTCAACGTCCTTATCACAGTAGTCTGAGAAACCTTAATCTTAGATGCAATTCATCTAGTCGAATTGCCTTCTATATGTAATACAATAATGGTTCGTGTTTCAACACTCACTTCTGGTTTTCGACCCATATTTCTATAATAAATCTAGTAAAAAATTATTGACGTTTATTTCAATCTTTACAGGCTATTCTAAATTAAACCTATAAAATCTATTTTTTTTAATGTGTTATGTACATGAACTTACCTTAGAATGAATTCCAGAAAATAAATGGTAAATATAGTACAAATTAATTAATAGGTACACTATTATTAGTTTACCTGGTCAATAAAAAAATTTAAAAAAATAAATCCTGAAGCAATAGTAAACCATTTTAAGTTGAAAGAGGATTAGTAGAATGTTTATGTTTAATATTTTATCTCTTGAGTTAGAATTATTTTATTAATCTTGAATATTGTGAATTACATAGAACTGAGTCTAAACGTTTGAACGGTACTGTAAATTTATTACAATGTTTTTTTTTATAATTCGACCTTTATATATTATAACTAAAGATATGAATTATAGTCGGATAAAAGGTCATGAAATATTTCATAAAAAAATTTCATGACCTATTATCTGACTATAATTCATATCTTAAGTTTTATATATATATATATATATATATATATATATATATATATATATATATATATATCTTTATCATTTTTTTTTTCATTGTGCAGGATTGACCTTCGTTCTTTTTACATTGATACATTTATTCATGGTCAGAATAAATTAATCAAAGATTCATTTATTTTGAGCATTAGACAAATGCTCAGTATATATATATATATATATATAATATATATATATATTATATATATCTCACAATGTTTCCTGTAAAATTACAACTTCTTAAAATTTACGTGGCCGATCTTCATTTCAAATTTATACGCATAACGAAAATATTACTTATAACTCAACCAAATATTTTTAAGAGTTCAATTCTAATGTTTAATGATGGTTTATTTCTATGCTTCAAATTCATATTTTTGGGAAAAACTCTTAACTGAAAGGTATAAAACTTATTAATTTTTCACTCTGGCAATCAAACCATTAACCTTTATTATTAAAAATGGATCTCAATTTTCGGTATTTGCCATCAATTTTACTTATATTGTTTGTATGTTTTTTTACTAATCCTTCTGTTTCTAATTACTCCGAGGTAAAAAGACATCTTTAATGCCATTTTTAATATTACAATATTTTTAATATTAATGCCATATTATATTATATTTCAATATTATAAATAAAAATATATTGATGTTTTTTAAATAACATATGTGTGGATAATTTTCTCTTTCTATTCGATATATTGTAATATTAATATTAAAATTTTATAATCGAAAACTGATATTAAAAAATAAGTCAGCAGAAATTTTTTTTAAAAATATGTATATAGTTTTATTTATTTAAAATATTGATGTTTATTTTAAAAATGTTAATATATTTTCATTATGTTAAAAAATCGGCATTTAAATATATATTTATTTGTTTAACATACCTACTGCCAGGGGTGCCAAGGAGAGGATTTCGCCATCAAAATTTTTGAGGGGAACACTTTGACCAGGTTTTGAATTTTTGAGGGGGGCACAGTTCAACAGGGTTATAAATTTTCGGAATAAAACGTTTTAAAACAAGGGACAAAAGGAAAGGATAGAGCAGACCACTGAAAGTGTAATTGTGTACGAGCTATGATTTTTAAATCCTACGTTATCTTGCACTCTTTATAAGAAGAGGAGAGCAATAAAATATCTTGGGAGGAGTTGGAGGTTCATACGCCATCGACTTTGGGGGAAGAACACCACTGCCTACTGCCCATTACATTACTGGGAAACATAAAATTTAGATGATATCCTATTTCTTTATAATAAACTAAACTAAATTTCCTTGAAAAGCAAATTGAATTTGTCATTGTTAAAACTATTTTAAGGAGATTTTTAAGCTGCTAAATAATGGTAAGTTATACTATTATTCATTAAATTAAAATATATTTGCGATTTTTTTTTTGAAAAGTTGAGATTTGTCTCAGCATAAACTGAGATTCGATGCTAATTTATTTTTTAAAAATATGTGATGAGAAATTCTGTCTTCTTAACGTAGATAAGAATAGTAATAGTGGATCGATGGTTGACTGTAGTGAAAATTTAAGAGAAGCTGGTTGGGATGTTGTCAGAAATAAAAAGTAAATGATATTTATTTTTTTGAGAAGGAGTTAGTCGGGGGTGCGGTCAAATAAATACTAAATTAAAATATAGTAATTACTTTTATTTTTTGCCGACGTTTCGACCCACTTTGCAGGTCGTCTTCAGGGCTACAAAAGATACAAAACATGTTGAAAATAAAAAATAAATATAAGTAGATATAAAATTAGAAGAAGTTGTCAGATACAGAAATAAAAGATGGTATCATAAAGATGGTATACATTGTCACCCACTATATCTCTGATATCATCTTTTATTTCTGTATCTGACTTCTTATTTTATATCTACTTATATTTATTTTTTATTTTCAACATGTTTTGTATCTTTTGTAACCCTGAAGATGACCTGCAAAGTGGGTCGAAACGTCGGCAAAAATAAAAATAATTACTATATTTTAATTTAGTATTTATTTGACCGCACCCCCAACTAACTCCTTCTGATATTTATTTTTATTTTTGCCGACGTTTCGTCCTGAAGTTCAGACCTTTATCAGGGCTATCACAAAAGGTTCCAATATGATAGACAAGAATAGTGTTTTGGCTAAAATAATTACAATAAACTATTAAAAACCTTTTACTTATTATTTTTCTTTAATCAGAGATTCTTTGAATTAAACTGATAAAAAAAGTAATTTTTATTAATAAGAAATTGTGGTTTTGCAAAAAATAAATATTTAAAACTATACTTAAGAGATTATGTATCAGTTCTATGGGTATCGATCCTTATGCTATCAGTTTGTTTGTAGCTCTAGAGATCTTTTATCAATCACTTCTTTATACAATAATAATAATTATATAATTATTATTGTTATTTAATCATAATATAACTATTATATAATTATTATTTAAATAAAATACTTAGGTATATACTATCCTGCTGAGAAATGTTCTTTATTATTATTTATCTATAGTTTTATTCATAATTAATATATTTAGAAATTAAAAATTTTACAGGTCACTAAAAACACTTAGATATATATATATATATAATATATATATATATATATATATTTACTAAACAACATTTCTCAACAGGACAGTTATACTTCTATATGGCATGAAAGAACAAAATTACACATAAAACTAGTTTACTGGGTAATTTGTATCAACATATGAAAGCTGGCTTAGAAAATCAAACTGGAAATAAAAATATAAATATATTTACATCAATATTACTTGCCACTGACCAGATTATAAATCAATCAATATTAGATTACAACAAAAATTTCATTATTTCCAAAATACTAATTTCTAGCAATTCATAATCCTTAAGATAAGATATGAAAAAAATTAAATATGTAGTTTATAATCAACAAACAAAATTAATCTGAATTTGAAATACAGTAATCAAATTTAATTTTTTTAATATTTTATTCAAATACAACTTAAACAAAGAAAATGGTTGTTGATAAAACTGAACATAAAATTATAAAATAACAAATAGTAACAATCAATAATCAAAACAATAATATTTATAATACACAATGACCGACTTCAACAAGTAACACTCCGAAGAGACGTTTATCTCATTAAGACAAAATGGAAAATAAGTCTTTCATTAAAACTCAAATACTCTTAAACTGAAATTAATATTATTATCAACACTGATTCAATGAAAGTGCTCACTTATGATGGTAGGACTGAAACTCATTAGGTAATACACAACACATGGTTTGTGTTTAGAATTGATTTTGATTAAAGAAAATTACTGATTCCAAAACAATGTTTAATTAAGATGCAGCTTTTAATCAGTTATAAAAATTGAACAGCAGCCATATCCAAGAAGAGTTATTATGTGTTTTTATGACACAACTTTATTTTCTATCCCAACCTTAATTAACTCTCATCCTAACCTTACTTTAAACTCAATGAGGCTTTTATTAGTGTCATAAACAAGTAACTTAAACTTTTTTAGTGTTGTACAGCAACAATAAAAAAAAATTTAAATGACTAATTTATAGATTATAAATTATTGATGCATTTCTGAAAAATTGTGAATGGAACTGTAAATGATCAAACTGATAAAAACCATACTTTATACAGACTCTCACTGAGTATTTATTAAACCAATTTTACCATTTGCCTTTTCAATAGATTGGTAAATATCTAGAGATTCTCCTAATGGTATACCATAACCTTTCATTAAACCAAATGGATTGGATGGAGTTTTATTGTCATTCTTGGAATCTTTTCTTAAAACAGTATCAATTTCAACAGAACTAAAAAAAGCCACAGACAATGGTAAATCAACCATACCAACACGAGAAACACAGAATGCTCGGGTTAATAAATTGGTAACATGTAAAGCTAGTGCAGCTTCATACTTAAACTCAGCAGGAACTAAATACCTCACTTCATCATGAAAGCTTAAACAAAACCTAGGTAAAGGACCAAGAAACCATCGCATGCTAACTAACATCAAATGAAGAAAATCAACAGCTCCACTTTGCACAACCCAATTAATCCTAGTAGGTAAATGTTTATCATTATGATCTAATTGAGGAGATAATGCACGGCTCAACTTACAATTCAGAAAAGGAGTTTCTGGGGAAGGTTTACTCGCTATCATTTCTAAAGAATTAAACATGGAAGACTCAGTTCCTCCAAACCACAGAGATTTTTCAAATAAATCTTCTATTTCTTTACCATTAAGTTTACAGAATTCTTGAGCATCTTCAGCAGAGTAAACTCTTTCTTCAATGTAAGGCATTACTTCTTCTTTTAATTTGAAAATTCTTTTTCCCTTTGTTAATTGCATCATTTTTTCAGCTTTTTCAATTGCTTGACCAGAAGTGATATCTTCATTAAATTGCTTCAACAAACGCTGTGCAAATTTTTCACCAGCTCCATAAATTCTAGCATAATTTAAAATTTTAGCATTATTTCGAGATATACCAACTGCTTTAGCAGTAACACTGTGCATGTCTGTTTCATCAGACTTTTGACCATTGAGTGTCATCCAACCCAATGGTGTAGCACCATGTAAACCAACAGCATAAGCATCACCTAATAAGGAAGCAATCCACAGTTCTTGAGAATCAACATCAGCACCAACCAGCACAAAACCAGGAGGTGCTTGAACAAATGCTCTCAATTCTGAACCCACTCTTTCATGGAAAACATTAGAAGCTGTCATCCAAGTTGGTTCTACTGCTCTGCGAGTTAGAGTCCCACAAACAACAACCTGAGGTATAATTGCACCGAAATCATCCTCAATATTTAATCTTGGAGGTATATCATTCTTTTTTACCCAACAAACAAACTGATTTTCCACTCTTTCTCTACTATTCCTCCAATATGATAACATCCTATTTATCTCAATCACCCGCTTAGCCTGAAAACTATCAGAAGACAAGGCATTTTCAGAAAACTTAGTGATAAAATCTTTTGCTAGTGGATTACCAACATTCAAATGACGGCCATCCTTATGCGGCAATTTAAAAAATCCACAAGAAACGCCTATTTCTGCTTTGCATAAATTAGAATCTTTATATTTTATTTTTCTCCTGCAAATTATTTCTCCAAATCCATTTTTAACACAAGTGCATGTGTTTTTATGGATTTTTAGAAAGTATTTAGTCAACTGATCTAATGGAAAAGAAATCTCATTTTCAATACAAATTGCAGTTTTGTATGGTACAAGGTAGCCCCAACCATGACCTTTTTCGTAATGAAGAGGTAACGACTTCCATGTTAATTTCATTAACTTGGGAGTAATTTTTAAACCTGTTCCAACTAAAGCTGGTTCTGGAACCCAATCTGTAACAGATGATTTATCACATAATTTCTTGTACCATTCTGGATATCCTGGCAAATGTTGATTTCGTGATGGTATTAAATCTTTTTTGGATAATAAAGAACAGAATTTGTGATTAAGTGAAGCTGTCTTTTCATTAACTGAATCAACTTCATATCTTTCCTGACTAGATATATTCATATCTTCATTTTGAAAAGAATTAGAAGTATTACATTTACTGTTTTTCAATTTTAAAGGCTTATATGACCAATCTTGGTCCCATAACCAAAAATCATATTTGAAATTTTCATTATGAAACAGTTCACAAACATTATTAGCGCACTGAGACATTAAACATTTCGCTTCCATATCCAAATCTTCATAAACATGGTTTGCATCTGAAACATACTTAGTCCAATTCTTATTAACAGGTAAATAAGCTGATTGTAGTTCAAGCATCCCAGCTAAAGTAACTGGATGAGGAAATCTTTCAATAAATAGTGGGAAAACAATTTTCAAAACATTAAAAGTAGCAAGCACGTCTAGAGCACAATAATGCATAGCATTTTGGAAATCCATTTTAATGTCTCCCAAACTTCCAGAAATAAATAATTCCCGACCTTCTTTAGAAATTTCAGTGCCGCAATATAGCTTATGCACTTTACTGAGGCTATTTAGAGAACTTACTTTACTCCACTCTTCATCTCCAACACCAGCTTTTAATAAAGCTTTCTGATAACTTGTCACTCCACTAACACATACGTGCATAGATAAAGTATCGAGAAACCGCATACCACTTTGTTCAATCCAATATTGTTCTTTAACTTTTGAACGATCAAAAGACACATTATGGCCTACAGCAATTTTTTCTTTCCTAACAAATGATGACAAATTAAATGCTTTAGTTTTCTTCGATGACTCAAGAGGTATTAAGTTATCTATAGAGTAAGAATGTCGGTTAAGTTTATTTTCTCCAGCAACTAAATCATCACTAACCCAGCCATACCATGCTTCAGTACTAACTGCTGTAGCAATAGTAGGAGCAGCTCCGGATTGACAACAGACTTCAACATCAAAAACAATTGCATCTTCAGACGGAAAATCAACCTTTTCAAATGTTCCATTATGATACCTCGTCCATCCAACTTGACACTTCCACTCATCAGGAATTTTAGGAATTCCTTTGATAAGATTAAGAATTAAATTTTTATATTTTGAACTCATTTTCTCTCCTAGTTGATAGAAATGATCTTCAATTGAATTTCCTAATAATTCGGGCAGTTTAAGCTTAACATCTGGAACAGTATATCCAATATTTGATAAATTATGAGCTTTCAAATTACTGAGGCATTCCTGAATTTTTTCTTTTTTTATGTTCAAATGTTTGTCTTTGAATAATGTTTGACACATTTCTTTATTTATCATTTGGATTCCAAACTCATTGGATCTTGGCAATGAAGCATAATCCACATTAACTTCTTCTGTAAGATGTTCAAAACGACAAGCATATGACTGCTGATTAATACGCTTAAAGTCAGAAACTAATTCATCAGGATGATTACTATCTGGTATAGTAGTATTCAAAGGCTTTATAACATCTTCATTTTTACAAGTATGGAAAACATCTGTTTTAGACCTCACTGACAGATGAAAAAAATTATACTTTTTTACTTTCAATATAGCTTTCTGTAACAATTTTCGATTCCCCATCGGTTACAAGAATTAATTCAAAACATTTAAAAAATTAGACGAAGTTGAAAAAAAGTAATTAACATCAAAATAAAAAAATGGTTACCACATAATTAACAAGTAATTGATAAATTAATTTGTGGTTTTCATCTCATTAATTCATGAGTGTATAATACAAGTATACAAAGTTATATTTGAAACTGATAGAAATAAATGATACTATATAATCAATTTGTGATTGCAAAAATTAATGTATGGTATAAAAATGGTAATTCCTTTGCAATCAAGAATATAATGAATATTATCCATTTTATATTATTATCCTTTATTATTCAATAAATTACAAACAGATAAAAAAACAAATAATAACAAAAATGAAATAAGTACTACATTTGATTTCAACCAATGACATAAGCACATTCCAATAATACATCACATTTTAAAGAAAAAAATCTTTATTAAATGTCTTAGTGAACATTTTTGAACTAACTATAGCAAATTCCATAAAACTCGTGTAGTTTGTTATAGCCATGTATACAATATACATTTATTTTGTTTCCACAACTATATTTCGTCAATTTTGAGTAAACTTCTTCAAGATTAAAGATTTACTCATATCTGAAAAATAACAGGAATCAACACAGAATGACAAAAAACAATTATAAAATCGTAGTTATACAAAACAAAAAAAATAAATAATGTAAAAGTACACAATAAATGCCATTTAAACCATTCTCTGTTTTATTATTACCACCCTCTCGCCATCTTCCTTTGGTCTAACTACATAATATATTTAAAACAAAAATGCCATGTTTGGAAACGCATGAGCAAAATATGAAACAGAAGCAACTAAGAAAAGAAATTCTAAATTATAATAAAGTATAAATTGAGTAAATAAAATTAACAAAGTTAAATGAAAAAATAATCATTATTCTGTAACATAATGATTGTCACCTAAGAATAATAAAAATTTACAAATAATTACTGAGGTGGGTGTTCGAGAGTTAGTATGAGAGAATTTCCAATAACATGTAGCGCTGCTTTATACTCGTCATATTTATGTGAAAGACTGATAATTCAAAAGGTGAAGAAAAAACTGGAATTTAAATAAAGTTTGAGAAAAAGCCTTATAAGTGGAGGAATCAAAAACGAAGCAGCACATATGATGAAAAAAAAGTTGTTCTATAAAGCCCCTTACACTATAAATATTGAATTTTGTCAATATATTGACCATGTAAGAACTACATTGGTATCAATTATATTTAGGTCAATCTAACTGGTTGATATACAATTTTTTTTTTTTTTATTTTAACTGAAGCTCCTTCAATGTTTTTGAAATAATATTAATATAATTGCATGTGTAAGTTGTATTGAGCAATATTAAATCATATATGTATACAGATCTAAAAACTTGAGAGATCCAGGGTAATACAATATTTTGAGACCAATCTTGATAATAGCAGGAGACTGTGTTTGTAGGGAGGGGTTCCCTTTCCCTTTTTCCACTTCCCTCCCATGTTGTTTTAAAAATTTTCTAGGCAAAACCTCATGCCATTAAACTGTTTTAAAATTACTACTTACGTTTAATAACAATTCATTTTTATTAAAAAACTATTTCTTTAATATTAAATAATTTCGAAACCAGGAAAGAGCCAATTTGAAAAAAAAAAACATTTTAATGTCAACGAACAAAATAAATTTGAAAGATCACACAAATATAAAGGTTACATTGTACAGTGAATAAAATATGAAATATATTATAGAAGTATTACATTCCTATCCACGACCATAAAAATGTATTTGAAAATAAACAATTGATAAATAACTATTAGTTTTATAGAAATCAGTATTAATATATTAACTTATAGTCAAATGTGAAGATAGTTTTATTATATAATCTTATTTTTTAATGCCACAGCCAAGGCAATAGGAGTTAATTATTTGGAGAAGGCAAGATCATAGTTGACATTTGTGAGAGGTCCCTTTGATACATTTACTTCAATAATACTGACCGTTAAGAGATATGCAAATTGGTAGGCTGAGATGTATCCACAGTAAGGGGGCTTAGTGAAGTTATCGTTACATAGAGGATAAAAGCACTGAATTTGGTATGAAGGTATCTAAGATTACAATGGTTAAGCTTGCTTGAGAGTAACATTTGTCTTGAACTTACAAGCTTGAACCTTTTAAAATCATCAAGACAAGAGACTTGCAGGCAGTCAGTTTACATGCAATTATACTGGGAAGCAGCTAGTAAATTTTAAACATTTATGAATCATAATTAGATCTGATAATTAGATGACTCATACATAATTCTAAACCTCAAATTTAGATTTTAAGCTTCTTTCAGCATACTTCACATACTTTCATTGAAAATTGTTACAGTTTATCTCCCACGAAAACATTGTTGGACTTCTGGAAAATAATTTTGCAGTTGATTCTTCAGTCTTCTCTTGTTGATTCTTTTTTTTATGCCCAATCCTCAAGATGATTTAGATACATACCTCAGATACATTGAAAAATTTAATACAAGATTTGAATTCTGTACAAATGTTACTGATCTACGAATGGCCAACACTCATTAATTTTCATAAGTTTTTGTCTGTTAGCTTTGTTGGCCTTTTCAATTACTAAGCTGTACTAAAAATTCAAAATATATTTTGTCTCATTGCTATAAGATCTCCTCCAGTTAATTTGTCAGGAGGTATGTCATTAAGTCATGTGTAATAGATCGAATATTGCTGACAATAAATGTTGAAACACCATCGAGTGGACTTTCATTTAGTTCTTTTCCAAAAGAAGCAAAATTTTAAGTCCAATATTATCCATTTATTAGGACTTTCTTTTGATTAACACCAGTTGATCTTCTCTTGATTTTCTTAGCCACAATTTCTCAGCTTCAATTTATTAAATTTTAGATGACAATATTTGTGCCATGAAGTGGAATGATTCCGAATTGATTCATTGATTCCAAAAGAAAGTTCAACTGACAGAACATCGAACTTGTAGAATTGCTAAATATTCTTTTTAATTGAGTATGAAGTAACCTTCATACCAAATTAGGTGTTTTTTTTTTTCGACCAAGTAATGGAAATTTATAAAATACAGCTCTAAGCCAACCCACTATCAAAGAAAAATTTGGGGGAAAGCGGGATGAAAATATCAAAAATATTAACTTTTTCTGTCAATCTGCGATGGAATGAAATCTGAAAAGTGAAAAATGGGAATGAGCATTTTATTCTCCACGGCTAGAGATTAATGCCTTATATATATAAATAAATTAGCTCTTTTAACAATTTTTTTTTTTAATTTTATTTTATTGAAATTTACAACTGTATTACATGGAAAATAAAATAAGTAAATGTGACATTGGTAACATGACATGTACAACATGAAGAGAAACAACCCATTGGTAGAACTCAAATTAAAGTTCTATATTAGAAGGTCCCGAGGCCATCTTCTTTTTAGACGCCTTGGAGGGTTATCAGGGATCGAGGAGGAAGCAAGGTTTGAAACGAGAGGATTCGGATGGTTCTGCAGTTTGTTATGGAAGGATAGGTATTTGGATTGGGCAAAATCGGAAACATATGGAACATTAAGGTCTTTATGGATGATTTTATTTGTGACAAAGTAAGGAGCATTGAGGATTTTACGAAGGATTTTGGATTGTAAGGATTGGATATGAGAGAAATTCGATGGTTTAGTGGGGCCCCAAAGCTCAATTCCGTAAGTCCAAATAGGTCTTATTATTGTCATATATATGAGTCGTTTGTAATTGATTAAAAGCTTAGAGCATTTGTCTAGTAAGTGCTGCAGTAGTCGAAAACGTCGGGCGGTTTCTAGTCCTATCAGTCTGGTATGGAGATTAACAATTTAAGTAATGAAAGGACAGCCTGGCATCATATTTATGAACTGACAAGCATTTCATTAAATGCAAATAAAATTTTCATGACAAGAATTGGTTTTTTATGGTTTGAATGCCAATAAGAGATAATTGAATTAGAAAACGTGAAAACTTGAAGATAACTAGATAATGAGCCAGTGAAGCTCGACACATTATTAATGACATCAATAAATGGATGAGGTCAAAGATTAATTAATTCCTTGAAAACAATTTATGTTAATAATTTAAATTGTGAAGAAATTATAACAATTCTTGCGTGAACCTGAGGTTCTGTTCAAATTCAACATCATTGTCTATTACATGGCTATTAATTTATAACTAAAAAAAAAATTTTCTTACAGAAAACATATAACTAACCATATTTCTTTTGAAGTTGGCAATAGGGTAATCACAAAGCCCTTCATTTACATTTTCAATATGATTTACTATTAATAAAAAAATAAATTTTCTTCTTTTCTTTGTAAGTATGGAATTTTTTATAACTTTTTACAAATACTTCAAATCAACAAATGATGAAACTTCCATGCATCCATATTCGTTAACCAGAAAAACAGTCTACCGACAAAACTTACATTCTGAGAATTTAGCAAAGTATGTTCTAATCGATGATTTTAAAATGTTACTGGAAAAACCTATCTTTGATATCACACTATACTTTATGAGATACCTCGAGCATATTGGAAGGACAGGATACATAAAGTTTTAGGTTGTCATGTATTAAAGAAAAGATTGGGTAGATATAGTTCAGCAGATTACTAAGATTGATGAAGGTCTAGAGAAAAGACCCTGGGCATGAAACAGAATTAACTACACAGGATGGCATCTTTTTATTCCAATTAAAAATGATAATATAATGTTCGAATTTGAAAAATCTGTTACAAAAAAAATAAAATGCATTTGATGTTCAATTAAGGA